AAATTAAATATTACCGTTTATTTAAAAAAAATGATTTTACCGTTTCTTTTGCTTATTGTGAAACTGCTATAAAAATTTAAAACCTTTACATAAAAATTACATTAAAGTTGAGAAGATGAATAGATAAAATTATACCTATTATCAAGTATATTTACTGTCTATTATGTCATAAAAACGAAAAGTAAATAAATCAACATTTATAACTTTAAATACATTATGAGTACAAAAATTTATAATTATATTGGTTATGCTCATTTAAACATTAGTACTATATAAATTTACTCACCAAAAGTGCTATTAAATCATATAAGTACTATTACATTAGTAAATATATTATACAATATGTTTTTAAACTTGAATCAATATCATTTTGATAACTTTCTTAAGAAATATTCTGTGCCAGTTTTTACTTCAAGCACTGAAAACAGACAAAACAAAATTTTTTTCTTATGTTACAAATGTTGATTTGGCCCTGAATTCACCTGATTCAGAAACCATGCAGATCTGTCAATCAGCTGGGTAGCTTCCACAATCTCCAAGCTGGTCCTTGCCGTATTTCCTTGCTTCTGTGTTCTTCTTTCACTTTTTGGTTATTTGTATATTTCATAACGTAATGTCATTATGTACATACAAATAATATTTTATATGCATGCAAATAACAAAATCAATCATTCAACATAAAAATAATAACGAATTAAAAAAAGGAAATCAACAAAAATATTTGTTATTTTCATAAAAATATTTCCTCGTGTCGCGTACACAAAATTACATTTTCTTTGCAAATAACACTACTATAACGATATTTAAAAAAAGGTAACATTAAGTTACAGAATTGGAAATACTTATCTTTCTATACAGAAATATAAAGCTCAGTGTTTACATTAGGTATCAAAATATAAGGATAATTGACTTGTAATATTATGAACCTACTTTGATTAAACAACTTTTTAGATAAAAAATAACAAGATTAACTGTACAGTTTTAAATAATATGCTTAATGCATAGAATATATTTACGTAAAATTTATATACTTTGCTTCTACGAAAATTTAAGTATTAGTATCACAAATTTGTAGAAATTTTGATATAAAATCTTAATGTTTTAGAAAATAATTTTATAATTTTAAAATAATAAAAAAAATTTCCAAATATAGTTCACATTTATTAATTATTGTTTTACACGAAACAAGTAATTAAATAATGCAATGTAAACATACATATCATGTAAAATACTACATACCGATCTTTATCATAATCTTTCTTGTCTAGATGTCTATCGTCTTCTCGTCTATCACGGGTATGCCTATCGTCTCGTTCTTTCTCTTTTTCCCTTCTATCACGATCATCCTTTTCCCGTAGTCTGTCATCGTGATCTCTGGGTATTCCTTGTCTTTCACGATCTTCACGATCTCTATTCAAAATTCTTCTATCTCTTTCATCTCTTTCACGTATACGATCATCTCGTTCGCGTCCCCTGACAAAGAAAAATAAATGCATATCAATTTTTGTACTAAGTATATATGACTTATTTTTAATTTTCTTATTATCATTACTAAAAAACTATATTAATATAATTTAAGTTTTTAATCATTTTAATGTTTAAAGCTGCCTTTTTACCTATCTTCTCGTAATGGTAATCTATCCCGTTCTTCAGTGTCGTGATCTTTAAGAGAATGTTCACGATCTTCTTGATCTCTCAATAAACGTCGATCACGATCGTCGCGCAAAGACCTTTCGGTAAGCTCCACACCTGGTGGTGAAAGGTCATAATAACCCTCTGTTCCAGGAGGTGCAACATCATCAAATCTTTTGTGAGGCACGTCTCGTAAGGGACTACCAAAACGTTGTGTAGATGGACCAGGGTACCTGTTGACAAAAAATTCATGGAAGATGTTTATATTTTTGTTAAATTGCTATAAAAAGTTATTTAGGAAGTACATTTAAATTATAAATGATCAATATTATATTAATTTTGTAAATTTACAAATTATTAAA